AAGCCTTTAAATTCCGACCAGATTTTTGCATTATGTACAATCTATGAAATATACAGAGCATTCATTCCAGTGTGATAATATCAAAAAAAACTTCCTCTGTATTTAAAAGACAGCGAAGTACTTCAGCAAGATTATCACTTTTTACAGCAATGAGACAGTAGTGTTATGTATGCAGCTTCCTCTTAACTGTTTTCTTGGTAGGTTTTAATGTTCCCAAGTTAGGTCTCAATCTTGGTTTAAAGCAGCATATTTTTGTTATAATTAAAGTATTTTAACTTTATTTCAGAAAATATGCCTTTATTCTAATAGATCATTCATGAAGTCCTGTGATAAAAGTTATGAACTAGATAGTTACACGAGGAAAACATTCCTTTCAAGAAAAGGGAGAGGAGAGGTGAAGTAGAAAAGAAGAAACTATTTAGAAATGAATCAGTTGTGAATAAGATAAATTTGTCAGGAACGTGCCTTATGCCCTATCTCCCTTCTTCCATCTTCTTTTGGAAGAATAGTTTCAAAGGCCTGCCTTCGAATACACTGAGTATTTTGTGCTGATTCTCCATTCCTGGAGGCATCTAAACTGCGGTTTCTGTTAACCTTACAGAGCTGAAACCATAGCCTGCATCCAACTGAATGAACATTGGTGAAATATAATAGTGAAATTCAGTCAAACCTGAGTACACTATATACTAATAGTACTGATAGGAGGCAGATGAATGGGAGAGTGTTTAGGATAAGAGTTTTTCAATTAGATCAGTGGAAAATTCATATTTGTTTGAATGGTTTGTAGACTGGGAGATCCTCTGAGCCCTGTTAAGGATCCTTTTGTTATTTTCAGTGGGTTACTCAAGATGGGGATGCTTTACAGAGGTGCAACTTTAATATGAGAATTTTTCAGGTAATAATTGATGTCAAATATTCACTTACCTAAATACAATCCACTATTTATGTGTAAACTTTTATAAAGAAATCTCATTATTACACATGGTTCACTTTCTGCTTTTTACATGGCTATTTCACATAGCATTTGGAAATATGAATGGATGATTTAATTTCATTTAAATTCTGTTTACATATAATATAGGTGACTGTCAACAGAATTATTCTTTCTAGTTGCCCTGTTTCAGTTTGCTAAAAAAAAAAAAACCAAAAAAAACCCATCACAATGTGTGTGGGGCTGTGGCTGCCAGAGCCTGTTCATGGTGACAGATGTTGGAGGTTCATCTGCTGATTTCTCTATTAGAAACAGTATAGTAGGCTGATGATACAATCTCGTCACTGGGGCTCTATCTTCGGTTTTGTTTGTATGGCTAAGTTTACTAAAGTAGCTTAAAAAGCAGTGTGTGTTTTTAATTTTTAAAATTTTTGACAGATTTTTTTTTAAGATGAAAATATTTGTTTTCTATTTGCCAGTAACAATCTAATATCTGTGATCTGTTAATAGGTTCACAGCTTACCATAAAGGACGAATAATGCTTACTGAACTGTATCATTGTCCTTATTGTGGTAAAATGGGTGATTTTGTTTTACCAGCTGTGACTTTGGTGCAAGCTGAATGACAGGGAACATGTAAAGTCCAAGTGATTAACATATTTCCAGCACTTAACTATACTTGTGTCATTCAGAATTCAGCAGCAGGTCTTGCTTGATAAGCTTGTTCTTGTCTTCGTGTTCTAAGGAACGTTGTACTTTTGCATGAGGTCTGTTGTACAGACAGAATCTTGAGTCCTTACTGAACCAAAACTCCCTGTGAAAAATGGCATAACTATCACCACGGAAGGTGCTGAATATGAGGGTAGACCAGCTCCTCACAAGAACAGTACATCTGCCTGAGGAAACAGAACTGGTAGTTCTATGACTAATTTTTAATTGTAAAGCAAAAGGGTAAAGCCCAATTATACCTGCTTTTTGAAATAGTGCATCTGCTGCTCCCACTAATATATCTAGTTATACCAATTTCCATCACTTATAGTAGAAAATGAGTCTGTGTTGTCCTTTAACTTATTGTATATGTGGCCAAGGTGATTGAAAGGTTGCATGCAAAGTGTTCTGATTTCATATGCAAAGGGTAGAATAAATTATGTCAGCAAATTAGAAGAAGCAGATTTTAGTCTATCTGTAAATGTATTTTGAGTATCACAGAAACATCCTCAGTATTGGTAAAATTCGGTGATGTCAGAAATATAAGCTAGTGTCAAAATGGCCTTAGTTTTACCTTTTGATGAGCCACAGTGATGAGACAAGTGTTGTGTTTCTCTGCAGTTTGGTATCTGATAACATTGAGTCATTATACTTTTTCTCTTTTAAGTGATAGGAATAGCAGATGTTTTGATGGATTATTAATTTCGAACTGCAGAGGGATTAGTGTGCTCACAAAAAAGGCTTGAATGCTTTATATACTTGAAATACTTGAATAGAGGGTTACTCTTGCATACTTAGCCTAAAAGTTGGATTTGAATTGTGTGACAGGAGTGCACTTAGGAGGTGCCGTGGAAGTGCTGATATTGTCTGCCATCACTATGAAAGATGCACTGTGGTGTCTTAGATAAATAGACAGTAGGGAAACTTAAATGACTGTCATGCTCCTTCCTGGAAATTATTTCTGGTTACAATGTCAGAATAGGGTAACCCTGTTTTGTACTTTTATTTTGGTAGTGTTTTCCTTCAAAGGGTACCAATATGCTTTACAGATTAGCATTAGGAATTAATTTACTGGACATGTTTGTCAGCCCAATATTTAGTGATTAAGAACAGAGGGGTCTACCAATTCTATGATTTTACACTAAGAGCAGCATAGGATCTTCTGTCAACAATACAAAAGCAAAAGCATCAAGCTCAAGAAAACATCTGTAGAGTTACAGAATTCATGATCACATGTATGTGGCCATAACTCACAATTTGGCACAAGACATACTTGTCAGCTTCTGAGATAGTGTTCAGTGAATGCTTAGTAACTTAGTGATTCATTGGACATAACGTATTCTGTGTGGTTAGAAACATTACTTCCTTCCTTAGTCATTAACCTGCAAATGAGTAAATACATTTCCTGAATAATATCTGCTCAGTTGGTCTGTTCTTCCAAACAATTCCGCTTGTTTCCATCATAACATCTGCAAATCATTTAAGTACCTGTGTTGTTTTTTCTTTTGTTGAAGAAGTTCTTTGTGAGACTGATAGTGTCTCCAAACACTTGTAAGCACCGTTGTTACCACCAATGTCAAGACTTCAAAAACAGTGTGAATAGGGAAGGCAAAACTACATGCTTTGTGAGCAGTAACTGAGCTTTTGCAAAAGCAAAATATTTTGCAGTGAAATTAAGATATAAATACTGAAGAAATATTCAGTAGACAGTATTGGTATCATTCTAAAAAGAAACACATTGTACTTCTAGGCAATACAATAAAAATTTGTACTTATCAGAATACCAATTATCAGATTTGTTTTCCTGTCAGAGTAGTTTTCCTGCAAAATAAACACTGACAACAGACCTGGTGTTATCCTGGCCAAGAGACCCTTCAAGCTGTTTACAGAGGTCATGCATATGGATTGTGTAAGCTGATAAAAAATTTTCATTTTATGGAAAGTTTTACCTTTCTTGTATAGAGTTGATTTTTTTTCATTGCACAAAGGCTGCTCTGAAAATGATTCCCACATGTAAATTTGATAAGGGGTATGCATCTCCAACATTCTGAATTTCTTCACTTCAGAAAGAAAATTGTGTTCCTTGAGTCTTCTATAAGAAAGCAGAAAAGTAATAACGCACTCATCTCAGAAAACGACAGCCTGCAGTGAAATTAGATGACTGCATTTCTTTTGAATAGATATAGATGAACAAAAATGATGCTACTATGACAAACCCACATGGTATCTATCTTCTTTTCTTAAATTGATTTCTTTGAGAGTAATTGTTAAATGTAACTACTTTGAATCAGTTTTTGAAAAATTCAAGACCTCTAAGCAGGTCAACACTAATTTATGTTGCATTTATGCTGTTTGCCTTTTTGCATTGTGAGATGTTTCCAAGCAGTGTCTTGCTGTCAGATGCGTCCTTTGTATAAATGAGACAGTTCATTATACAGTCCAGGCTATTAGTGGGTGTTTCTCTTTTTTGAATAGATTATATGTGATCTTTTTGTCACATCGATAATATGTGATCCATGGAAATGAGCCCTCAAATGCAGCAAAAAAGTAAGTTAATAAGGATTTATAAAACAAAAGTTTGATTTGAAGACTTTTAAATAGTCTGCAATACTTACTAAAAGTTAGGTTGCTGAAGAAACCTCTGGGAGGTAATAACACAGTTTGTAATTCATGACCGCTTCTTGCTATCGGCTGATGCACTGAAATTTAGTCCACTTAAGGTGACCTATCGGCCTTACTCTGTATGTTTATGTAATTTAACTGTAATGGTCAGAAAGGAATCATATGCCGAGTAACATGGAACCCATCAGAGTTCCAGATAATGCTTGTGGAAGAGACAGTACTGCACTAAGTGTCATTTTAAAAATAACATCCATTTTTAATAGCATTTACAGCATGGAGGATTTATCTCCTAAATCATCCAAACTGATGGAAATCTGGATGGAAATCTCAAAAAATGTTGACAGCTTGGTATCTCTTATTACAATAACCATTAAAAAACTCACGGTCAGCATCAGTAATCTGGGGTAAAGTGCTTAAGGAGTGTGATGGCTAGGTTAATCTTCCAATCTAAGTTGATCCTTACTGAGTCAGGCTGAATTAAAAGGGAAATACTGCTAAGCATACTATGAGCAACACTCACTGCCAGCTTCAAAGGTATTGACATAAAAGGAGAAGGACATGAAAAGAGCAAAACTGTCAATGAAAAAGCAGCAGCAAGAAAAAATGAACAGGCATCTGCAGGACATTACATTTTCCACCTTCTTTTTAGCCCTAGTGGGCACAGTATTATTTTTGTTGAATACATCTGAGAAAATTCTTGTAAACAATAAGATTCTAAATCCCAAAACTTTGTTTTTCAGAAACCCTCCTCCTACTTTGCTGCATCCTGAAAAATGGTGCAGAGGATTCAACCATTTCATTTCACAGTGAGTATTATTTGATTTAAAATTAGCTTATTCAGAAACTCACTGTTTTTCAGATGTTGAAAGCTATTCAGTAGTTCCATCTTCTCATGTAATTTGTTTCACAGCTTCTCTGAACTCCTTAGTTAGCTTGCTTCTTGATTTCTTAATAGAGTTGGAGCATGTTTATAAATATAACTGATAACTGATTTCCTTGATGATTTTGCAGAGGAGTTTTGTGTCAAAGAGAAAAAGGGTTAGTGAAAATGGCTGCTGGTCAGTTTAAAATAAGAATTCAAAAGACAAGAAAGAAAACAGTTGCCTTTTTTTCCACTTTATTAATATTCAGTAATTTGTATACCCAACATGCATATGAACAAAAGTTGTACAAATAGTCTAAAAAAGTAGTGTACAAATGTTGCACAGGTGCTAAAGATTTTCTGGATGTGATATTATTAAACACTGTGAAGTTTCTACTTCCAGATAACTAAATACTTTGAACACTGCTCACCAATACTGACTTTTCAAGATAGATTTGAATATCTGTATATTTCCATTTTTAATCTGTTGTGTATCAGTGTATCTATAGTCTCTCGTGGAGTAGTACAATATCTGTACCTAACAACTGTGTCAGTCAGTTTTGTAATAGTATCTTCCCATTTTAGAATAAGTTAAGAATAGAAAGATTAATGTAACTTTTATGAAGAATTTTAAAAAATATTACAGTTTATAATGCTGATGCTTAAATTGGCCAGGAAGGTTAGGCAAGATATAATGTTTAGCCTGCAGTAAGAAGCAGTTTTTATCATCGCTGCAGTGTGACCCAGGATCTCTTCCAGTGTAAGTAGTAGAAGTACATCGCTTTGAAGCAGATTGAATTAAGTTCCGTTTCTCCATTATGCAGGTCCTTTTTTACTCATCAGTGTACACTGCAATCTGTGGTGGAATCAGTGGTTAACTAAGAAAGTCACTGTGTTGTGGATGAATTACATTCTGTTACAGAAAACCATTCTTTTTACAGTATTTATGGACCCTGTATTTTGGGGAACTCTGGCACCAGTGGGTCTTCCTTTTTAGAAGTCTCATCTGAATCTGAGAACAGGATAAAAAATTAGATTTAACATTTGTTCGGTCCTTCAGTTCAACATATGTTGTTTGTAACCTTGTCCTTTCAATTTTCGATATCTTGCAATTGTATATTTGTTTTTAATTACTTTTGCTTAATTACTTCCTCTCACTAGCAACATCTGCAAGTCTACAGATCTTGCTTTTAATTTTTTACACTAACATACAATGAAGTAGGGAAGCATACTCATATGCAATCTCTTAACATGAAGAGATGCAGCAATTGTAATACAAACACAAATCTTTTAGCTGTTATGGATAATTGGCTCACTTATGTGTATTAGTTATATATTTGATGATGCTTGCCTTGTGACAGCTTAGTTTATGATAAATTAAATGCAATGGCTGTATGAATTCCATACTGCCTTTTACCCATATGTTGGTACCTTGTCTGATGTTTCTGTAACCGCTGTGATGAGTGGTTAGCTTTGGAATAATTTCATTATCTACCTCCTTCCGGATGGCTAATGCCATTTGCATAACAAGCTTATCTGGTTCAAGTTGTGGGCCAGACCTTGTACTGGCAAAAAAACAAGAATTCATCTGTTCCTAAGCATATTTCTGACTTCAGTTCTATTGACACAATAATTTTATCTATGCCAAGATTGCCAAACCTGGTCGTTGTAACGTTCCCCACCCTCATCCCTTCCCCTCTCTGTCACTTCTTGAAATGCCAGAATGTTTTTCACTGTCTGTGAAACTGTTTTTTTTTTTTTTTAATTGCGAAGATACAACTTTAGCCAAGTCATATTTGACAGATAAATTTGTACGTGGTATCTACTGAGATACACACAGCATATTACATAGGTTTAAACATGTCAGTAAAGTTCTATTTATCTGTACTAATGTAATAGTCCATGAAGAGCTTGGCTGGTCCACTTATAATGTGAGAAAGAATTATCTGTTTATTTTTAAAGACTTTTCAATAGAGATTACTATTTCTATAAGGCTGAATAAATAACCGTATCAATTATTGGATTGGCTCCTACAAGTGGTAGACTTCTACCTATGTTCATTTCTGTGCTCAAAGAAAATACTGCTTTTGAAGAGTACGTTCTGTCTATAAATGTTTGAAAAGTTAATTTTTTGATAGCAACAGCGTACACATTACTGTTCTCTCAAGATTAAAATGTTTACCACCATTTCAGACATAAAGTGGTTCAGAATTCATTCATTAAATAATATAGACTTCATGATAAAATGAATTTTTCAAAAGTCACTAAAATTAGCCTGATTGCCACAAATAATGTTCTTGGCAGTTTAAATCTTGACTGATCTCTAGGGGTAGATAGAAGAGTTAATGTAGTATTGAAGCAGGAGGATACAATAACCTTTATTTACATTACATCACAAAATGGTATCTTAATTAAAATGAGCATTGGTGTCTCCAGAGACAGACATTCTTCTTTTAAATTTATTTAACCAATGATGAGCTATTATGGTTCTTTGAATTAGTATTTCATGAAGTGGAAGGACTTCAGGAATTAAGGAATTCAGGAAGTAGTAAAGTCACAATGTGAAATAACAGGATTTATGGTCATCATTTACCATCAGTAAGTAAAGTTTATTTCAGCAGTGGTATTGTAAATACAATACAAATTTAATTTTCAGTCTCAATATTCTTAATTTTTGCACTCATTTTTAAAAAGCCTTACAAGCTGCATTTCATCTTGTTGAGTTTACATCAGAGTGATTCAATTAAGAAATCATATGGAGTATATAGTTTGTAAGTGCTCTGAGTGCATATCAATTTTTTCACAATCTAAGCAGTTGTTTAGTGACATTCTGTTTCTACATAAGACAATTTTACTGTTTCTGTCACTGAGAGCATGATATGTAGTTGACATTATTCATTCATTTCTCAGTATTAGAAAGACTAAGAGGTTTGCAAATGAAAGAAAGATGCAAATTGCTATGTTGTAAGGTTGCCACCAAATCTGTAAATTTTCCATTTTATTCATGACTATAGTCTTTGAGAATCCATATAAAGATTCATTTGAAATGCTAAATTGTAGCACCTGACAAAAGAACTCCAATAATTTTGGGTATTGCGTGAGACATTTTTGTACAGATGAATGGTCATACATAATGGATACAATTATTTTTAGCTTTTTAATGAGCAGTTTTACAAAGAAGTGAGAAATTCCAATGGAAGTTTGAAGCCCAGACTCTGTAAAGAATAGTGCTAGGACCTATGAATGTCATAGCATCTAGATCTTTCTCTCAGTAGATTGCTGAGTTCCTTATCATTAGCAATGAATGATGGTTGTTCTTGTTTTCTTTCGTTTGTTCATTGGCTTGCTATTCCCACTGTAAAACAAACAAACAAACATGTGAAATAGTTGTCTGATGAGATACTTTCCTTACTCCTTTCTTTAAGCTTCTTTGTAACTAAGTGCCAAAATCCTGCTTGTGTTTTATAGCTGAGAAACATCTCAGAATTTGCATTTAGTATCTAATCTGTCAACCTTTTGTCTAGCTTTTCCTTGCACCCAAGGTCCTCTTCCCATGATCTCAAAGTTTCTGCCTGCTTTAGTAGAAGCTCATTTTTCAGCCACTCATCTGTTGTCATTTGCCTATGATTCTGAAAAAAAAAACAGAACAAAACAAAAAAAAAAAAAACCAACCCACCACCAACAACTGTTGCCATTTCTTTTTGCCTCTGATTGGTACTTTCTACCATACTTCCTTCTGAAAATGTTTAGAACTTTTAGCCCAAATTTTATCCTAAACTGCTCCAGTTTTCTTCATGACTGATTCCAGTGAGGAATGAAAGTAGAATATGTCTGTGTTAATTTTGAAGTAGTTTGTTTTTCGGGGTAAACTTATCCCTTCTAGTTAAACTAGTCTTGTTGTCAAGGAAAGAGTTTCAAATATGTTCAAGACAATCTACGTTTGTTTGGAATGTGTTTTTGATGGTATGAAAGGCAAAAGTGTGGAAACATGATAAGCAGTAAGAATTTGACTTGCAAAAAAACAGCCACAAAACAAATAATAGCCCCCAGTTTGTCTGATAATAGTTCCTTCACACTGGACTAATTAAGCAGCAGGAGAATAGTAAAGCTTCATTCCTCTCAGCTGTACTTGCATAATGAAGAAAAATGTTTAATTCCTAGTTCTACTGGAAAAAAAGGATGTCTTGCTCAAAGGCATCCAGTAATCAGAAGCAGAGCTGAGCATGGAGTACTCCAATGTACTGATAGATGAAGGCAAGCTTCAGGGAGAAAAGATATGTCAGCTGTCATCTTGTGGGCCATGGCATCCAGATCAGGTCTGGCACATGGGAGTGGTAAGAATGTTGCTGTTGACCCCCAACAAGTAGAACTAATCTGGTCTCGTCTGCCCAGGTGATTGCTAGCTAGCTTGTGTGGAGGCACATCAGTGTGGCCACAATTCGAATTTCCACTTTTGGAAAAGAGGGCATCAAATGGTCAGTTTAATGGTGTGTAAGAGAGAAGACTTTTCTCAACTCCTCTATGACTGATGTGGTAGTGTATGATTGCTTTTTCAGTGGCTGTCCTTATTTACTGGAAAATGGGCAAGACTGCACTGAATGCTTTGCCTCTGTTCTTTTCTTCTTTCTGCTATTATAGGGGATGTAACAGAAATACGCTGTCAGCACCTAGAGTATGCTTTCTGTATCTTCTAGCTTCTATATGCTACATCTGCCTCAAATCAGCTGCATGCTGTCATTACAAAAGGAGATTCGACCTAAGGGAGAATGTTTGATACAAAATGCAAAATGTACTGTTTGTAATAAAAAAGCTTCAATTGTAAGAGCTTTTTGTGTTCCCAAGTGTGCAAAGGCAGGCCAAAGAAATAGAGTAGATTCATTCCTGGTAAAAGGCTAGAAAAACCCTGATTTCACTGTACAGTAAATAAATGCATTTGAACATTTT